AACTAAACTTATGCATAGATTGTAAATGTTCCTTTTAAAACGCTGGACAAGTGTGCTTTTGGTATATTCCTTTAAAATTTAGGCAGTCCTTGCAAGGAAGAGGACTATAAGGAGTGGATCCCATCTGATGAACTCAACGGGACTTGCTTGCTGGGTAGGAAGTCTGTTTACAAGAGAAGGATAACCCACGCGCACTGTTACAATGGTTATGACTATGATCAGCCAATCACACATCAGAATTGTTCGTGTAATAGAGAGGACTTTGAATGGTAAGGTCAATATACAGATTCCATATTACAATCCTAACCATGATACGATGTCTTACGATGGCATGCCAGGACATGCCCTTCCCGTCAATCCTACCCAACCCGCCTCATCTCGTCCCCATTCCATCCCATTCCAAACTTGTCCTGTCGTACCACGCCCCTTAGAACTTCATAAGAGTTTTCAAAATTGAAAAAAAAAAAAAAGAAAAAAGAAAAAGAAAACATTTTGAGAAGAACATAGTTTGTCTAAAACGACGTGACTTAACCATCATAAACACCTTATTTTATTTTATGCTGTAAACGTGGCTGGCCTAGTTGTCTAGGCACGCGTTGAAAGCTTAAGCACGTGATAATCTATAATCCATTTTATTATATGGCTGTGTCTCACAAGGACTGGGAACTACTGAGTTCACGAATTTGATTGGCTGAAATCGATATTGACCGCGGTCTAGATTTTCCCATCTAGACCGGCATCTAGACCGGTTTCATTTTGCGTTGACAAAGCAGCTAACTAAAATTCAAAAATGTTCACCATTTTCTTTTATTTTCTTCTCAATCATTTATGGAAGTGCCAAAAAGCCTGATGACAAAAAAAAAAGTAAAGAGGACGAGCAAATTTCGGCAGGTTTAAGTTAAGCTCATCGCCGTCCGCAAGCAAAATGTCAGCAAACCAGTTACATTAAAAGAATTAAAGTTTTCTGCTTGCCATATAATAAACATCTTATTAACCGAGCTAAGTCGGTCTGTATGGGAGAATCTTGACCTCGGTCAAGATTCTCCCATACACGGACCTCCAGCTCAGTTAATAAGAGCTAAGGAATACTCTCTAGTGTTCCACATTGATTGCAATCTTTTTTTATTGTGGATATATGGCTTTTGTGTCGTTTTGGTTCACTAGTATATAAAAAAGAAAGAAACAAAACAACTAATCAAGTTTATTTTTCTTCTACATAGTGATGTGGGATACTTTGATCTAGGTAACAAAGAGTGCGCGGTTGATACTTCCAGTGGATTCACTCCCACCGGCGTGCCTCGTTTTTGTCCTGCAGGCAGCACATATCGCCGCTCAAAAGGGTATTCGGAAAGATAGACCCATATAATATACCCGTAGATGGAATACAAGTGAATATATGAAAGATCATGTAAGATAGATGACAGCTGCGTAAGTTTTGTGTATAACCGCGATGATCAATCATATCTTTATATCTTTCTCCGAGTTCAAGTGTATGATCTTTCGTATATCCACTTGTATTCTTCGCCATCTACGGGTATATTATGAACTCACAATGTGACCAGCTTCCAGTTGGCTTGATAGCCCAATATTAATTGGTAGGGTACCGCACCGGTATCGCAGAGGTCATGGGTTCGAATCCCGTCTAGACCTGAATTTTTCTTGTTTTTCAGGTTTTAATTTCACGACTGCTTAAGTTGTGTGTAGAACTGCAATGATCAATCATGTCTTCATATCTTTCTCCGCAGTTCTAATACACATGATCTTTCATATATTCACTTGAACTATGGTTCAGCGTTAATGCATGTGTGTTAAATTTGCAACTGTCTACACTTGGTTTCAGTAAGACTTTTTCGCCCCTTCCAGCTGTTATTTGTTTATCACTCTATCTTACTGACTTGTTGAATTTTGGAGCCGCTCGAGACGCGTGAAGCATAACTGAAAAAAAGCCTTTTTAATCAACCTGCATATATTTCCTGGTACTTAATATATTTCTACCGGTAACAGAATAGTGTCGTTCTTTAACCCTTATTTCCCTTGCATACGTTAGTTATTTGTTGTTCATAATAGTTCTCTCCTTCTTGTAAATATATTAAGCACGAAAACAAGTATATCGGTCTTGAGTTTTTGCGCGAAAATATTTTCCACTTTATATGTTGAAGACACTGATGGATAAAGGAAAGCAAATAATGGGGCCCAGAGGAGCTAGGAAAACAGGCGAAGATGGCAATAAGGGCGAAAATACTCATGAACACTTTGTTTGCTTATGGTTCTGTTGCCAGATATCGCAAAGTCGTTGGTGATACCTGCCAGGGAGGACTGGAAAATCAGTTTGTTTCAGAAATGGTTCCTTGTCCAATAGCGCGTAAGTTAACAACCATACAAAGAGTGAAAAATCATGCAAAGCAGGTTCAAATTAAAGTGATTCTTGCCCATTGCTGCCGCCGTTACACCAAAGTTACATTTGATGGGAGTGATCGTCAGAAATATTTGAACGTTTACTGTAATGGAATTAAAGTTCCTAAACTAATTTAAAATAAGTCATGAAGCTATAATTGGCATGGTGCTTGGTTATTTGTTGAAGAGATAATAGGTTTTTTACTAGTTTATCACTGTTTTGCGTCCAAAAATAAGCAGCTGCGAGTCTAATTTTCAGCTGACCTCTCGGTATTCGGTATTTGGAAATGTAACGAAACACTGGTAGCTATATCGAATAAACAACAAGCAGTGATGAGGGCAATTTGAGGTGATTTCGTTTTCCTAAGCCCATGGATATTCGAAAAGGGCTGTTTCACTGCATGGATTGATTTTTGGGTCTGAGATTTAGAGGACTTATTACTAAAATTTTACGTTAAAAGAGGTTCTACATATTTCTCATGAGTGTACAAAGAGTAAATTAAAAAAAGATCCAAACAAAAAAACAAACAAACAGAAAACATTGATAACAATTAGAAGAATCTGCCCTCTGGTATATGTGTAGTCTCTGTTTATGTTTCCTCTGTCACTCTATTTAGTTAATTTACCAGTAGATTGAATTGTTTAATCTTACTGCAGCACAACCTCTGTTCTTACTGTATGCGGCTCAAAGTAACATCCAGAGAATCACGTTGGGAGCTAATTACACAGAAACCACTCTTCCACTTGGGCTGCAAAATGCTGTCGCCTTAGACTTTGATTATAGTAAAAACTGCATTTACTGGGCCGATGTCACTCTAGGAGCAGTCAAGCGATCGTTTCTTAATGGATCGGGTAGGTAAAAAATATGCTTCAGCGTTAAATCGGGGTGGCACTGTAATTGCTTTAACATAGATACTTGAAGTCAAAAGAAGAAAGAAATATTTGCCAAATCATTCCAGAGGACATGAAGATTACAAAAAGGTATTGTAGTATAAGGAATTACTTTTGCTTGCGAAGCTCTCAAACTTGTCTGATAATTTAATGCCTCAAATAGTGATTTTACGAAATTTCGTTACTTGTATTTTTTTTTCTCGGAAATTAAGGGATAGTTAACCGAAAATATATATCCTGTGATTGTAGTTATACCCTAGCCTAACTGAAATTAATCCATGACCGAAATTGGGTTTTCTACCTCCGAAATATCCTTCTTTTTTTCTGAATTTACAGACAGTTTGTCAAAAGACCCTAAAAGGTGTCAGCTTGCAGTGGGATGTCTAAGACTAAACGAACGATGTTATTTATTGTGTCCGTATTGTCTAGAAAGTGATATATTTTTTTTGTATTTAATTTGTGTCTCTAGGAATAACTGAGACACTTCATGGTGGCGTCCAGCAAGTGGAAGGACTGGCATTAGATTGGCTTGGTGATAATATATATTGGGTAGATGCTGGTGCCAAGAAGATTGAAGTCTCCAGGACAGATGGACGTTTCCGTAAAACACTTCTCACCAACAATCTCGATAAACCCAGGGCTATCGCTCTACATCCATCTCGTGGGTAAGAATAGAAACTTCTTAGGTTTCTTGAAATGTTAAAACAGAGAATTCTTCCTGAGTTTTAAATGTGATTATCATAAAATGCTGGTCTAACAAGATCTCTTAATCTAGACGGTAGGTACTATGAGAGTGCAAAGCAGGCAGCTAGAAATGTTCACGCAGTCATCATCCTTATTGTTTGGGAGCGTGCAAATTTGGACCGTTGCAGAATTCGCGTTTTAAGCAGATAAAAAGAGAAATGTTTCCACACAGCTCTACAACAACTTTTAGAAGAAGAACTTAGTTGGCGATTTTTTTATTGTTATTATTACTGAGAGACTGGAGCAGTTACGAAGCAGGGAGATACACCTGCCTGCGGCTCGTATTCACTCTACACCTTTTTCGTGCTCTAGTTACTTCTTCCGCGTGCTTTGTGGCAGACAAATGCACGATCAATTAAGCCTTTTTTTGCTCAATCATTATGATTGGGTATTTGACTAAAACGTAATTCTTTCGCTGCAGCTAATATGTAACGGAAGTAACTACTGTGTTTTTCTCTACTAGGTACATGTTTTGGACTGACTGGGGAAGTGAAGCTCGGATAGAAAGAGCTTACATGTCAGGTGCAGAGCGTGTGACAATTGTGTCATTTCATTTACAATGGCCTAATGGAGTTGCCATCGATTTCTCAGCGCAAAAACTATACTGGACTGATGCTGGGTTGGACAAGATAGAGAGGTGCAACTTGGATGGAACTTATCGACAGGTATAAATGTAGTGCTATGGACAGGTTTCCGTGTCTCCGACAACATATAGACGATCAAAGAGTAACGCAGTCTACTCAAATAACCTTTTTTATACCCTTTAAGAGACAATAGAGCTTATCTAGGGATTGATTGGCTATCCATTCAGTAACCACCGTCACCCCCNGTTTTTTTTTTCCTTTTTCGAAATGCATTTCGCACTGCTAAGTGTAAACTTTCAGCAGAAGGTCAGTCCTTCCCCAGCGATATTTCAATTTTCGGGCTGTTTTTCTCCTTGATTGGCGGTGTTACGCTCTTAACAATAGTCGACACGCGCATTTGCCCAAACCGTGAAGTTCAAGTTCACTTTAGCAACTGTTGGTTAGTTTGAAAAACGTTGTTGAAGATTTTTGCAGCTTTGACCTTGCGGTGAAAAATGGCGTCCTACTACAAGTACGTCATTTCTAACAGATTGTTATGTTCTCGTGTAAAGCAAACTCGAGGAAGTCAGCGTACATGTATAATGTTCTCATGCTATGACAACAGAAATCCATGAAGACTCCAGATATGGGTCTGCGTGTACTTCTGAGGGTTAAGCTTTAGAAGGAACATTCAACCTAGCACCTTTCATTTTGAACGCACTGCATTCTAGGAAACCAATATATGTGTTCACTTTATGAGGTCTTGCGTGAATGAAATCTGTATTTAGGGATGAATAAAGCTTGATGCATGGTTAGATTGGCCGTATAGGTGGGTTGAGAAGATAATGATAATGCAATTAGATTATTGCGCGAGGCTGCTCAGCGGCAAAATCTAACCAGAAACATGAAGGTTAGTGAACGCTCGTTTTGTGTTTTAGACAATAAGCAGCACAGGGCTACCTCACCCGTACTCAATATCTGTGTACAAAGATTCTATCTACTGGGACGACTGGTCAACACAGTCAATTCAAAAGGCAGACAAACGATATGGTGGCCTTCGGCAGACTATTAAGTCACATGTGCACAAGCCAATGGATTTAAAAGTATTTCACCAGGATGCACAGAGAGGTGAGTGCTTTTCCTCCTTTTCTTTTCTTTAGTTTTTCAAGATAACGTTTTGGTATGTAGATTTAGTGTAACAACCAGTAAATGAAGCCGATCTCCGCGTGCCATTTTGTAAACATTTTACTGAACGAGTATCTGCAAGGCTTCATGGGGTGTGTAGACATTCTGGAAATTTTCTAACAAGCTTTCCAGCTTTACATTGTTCTTAGTAAACGCGCACAGTTGTACTAGGCCATATTCGATCACTTCAATCCACCTCCTACTACTTTTCCTGTTTCGCTGTTAATTGTACTGTTCAAGATGGTCTTAGCTTTTAGGTCTGTTGACTTTGATGAAACCCTCGCACGCAACCGTTCGAATTTGTTTGTGCTTTAAAGCTAATGTGCACTTTAACGCGAGAAGGCGTTCTGGCTCATGATAGGTATTGAATTATCACCAGGAAGTAACTTTTGTTCGCGACTGAAAGTGTGCAGCCACCTCTGCTTCTCTGTGCCGGGTAGTTATTCCTGTGCTTGTCCTGATAACATGCGAAATGTGACGTCTGTTTCTGGAAATGTGACCTGCGAGTGCCAGCCTGGAGAACACATGGACGCTAACGGAGAGTGCAAAACTCGGAGTGAGTATTCTTCCGTG